AAGATTCTTTTTTTCCCTTTATGTGAGAGGCATTTTGGGTGCAATATGCATTTAGAGGGTTCTTTACAACAACACCTAAACTCTACACAACTGCTTGTTCACCACGGTGAAGACCACGTGCATCACTACAGGGCATGTTTTATTGTGAAACTACCCTTGCACAATAGGTAGTACATAGTAAACATTTTTTTTAAATATGTGTCAAAGATTCTTTCCAGCTTACAAATTGTGAAATGTTGCTTTGCACTTAAGGAAAAAATTAAAACTATTACTCAAATAAAAATCAAACCCACAAAAGAGCATTTGTTAGAGGTGTTTTCACTGAAATTTTATTCTTAATAATGATTATCTCCAAGGATAGAAGAGCACAGAATTCCTTTTTTCTTTTTTTTTTTCTTTTTAGGTTATACATATCTTTGGGGGATGAATTCTACTTTTAAGATGCACCTATGAAAAAATAAACATTACAAAAATAAAGATTAGTGGTACCTGGGTGGCTCAGTAGATTAAGTGTTCAACTCCTGATTTCACCTTAGGTCATGGTCTCGTAATTGGTGAGTTCAAGCCCCTCATTGGGCTCTGTGCTGACAGCAAAGAGCCTGCTGGGGATTCTCAGTCTCCCCCTCTCTCTGCCCCTACCCCGTGTGTGTGTGTGTGTGTGTGTGTGTGTGTGTGTGTGTGCACGCGCGCGCGCGCGCGCGCGCTCTCTCTCTCTCTCTCTCAAAATAAATAAACTTAAAAAAGAGGAGCACCTGGGTAGCTCAGTCAGTTGAGCATCTGACTTCAGCCCAGGTCATGATCTCATGGTCTGTGGGTTCGAGCCCCGCGTCAGGCTCTGTGCTGACCGCTTGCTCAGAGCCTGGAGCCTGCTTTGGATTGTGTATGTCCCTCTCTCTCTGCCCCTCCCCCACTCACGCTCTGTCTCTCAAAAATGAATAAATGTTAAAAAAAAATTAAAAAAAGAAAAAAGATTAAAAAGTTTTATAAATTTAATTCTGGCATTGTAATCTGTGATCCTCGTTGTTAAAAGGCATGATCCCTGCCTGCCCTTTCAGTGCTTATACTATGGGAAGGAATATGAAAGAATTACTATGCCAGAGATATGACTCCTGAACCAACAGGGAGCATTTAATAATACATGCACTCATTCACTCACATATGCAAATATGTGCTGCATATTTGCTGGCTATGCCAAAGACCGGAAGCCAAAAAGGGAAAAAAAAGATAAATACCACACAAACCTCCCAACTCAAGGAGATCCAGCCATTGTCTCATTAAAAAAAACAGTAACAAAAAAATGTGCTGTAGCATTTTGAAGAAAAGAGAAAATCAGTTTGCCCCGAAGCCATATGCTGTACATCTCACAGACACTGCCTTCACGTTATTGCCTAGTGTGCATGTGATATGCTTTAGATCCTGGAGAAAATTTGGCTAACTTATTGCACCAGACCTAATTTTGTGTTTTTCCCCTTAAAACTCTGGATTTGTGCCATTTATCTAATTCACCTCATTATGCCACCGGGATGTCCTGGACCTAAAATGAATCAGTGCTTTCCAGACATATTTCTGAAAATGTATTAAATTTTATCTTTCACAAAAGAAGATTTTTCTCTCAGAATAGGCAGCTACCTTACTTCAAGGAGTAATTCGCTAGGTGCACTGATTTCAGATGTGCACGCACACACAGTTAACCAACTTTGGAGATGGTACAACTTTCCGTTTCCATCTGAAGACTAGTACAAACACATAACACATAATACATTTCTTACTGCTGTAAGAGAAGAAAAAAGAAGGTTGGCACTGGGAATTGATGGGAAGTTGGTGTATAGTGCTAAATGGCTAAAAATGGGAAAACTCTAAAGGCTATAAAATTACAAAGGAGTTGGTAAAAGTTTAAAAGGTACTAGAAATGGTTTTGAATATTAGCTCTTAAACCAACACTTTATGTGTCAAAAGTTTGTTAGATAGGAGAAAGGACAAGATTATGATGGTAAATGAGCAACTCCAATTAAGTAGTGGTATGGGAAACTAACTGGAGAGAGCAAAAAGAAAGTGAGGGGTCTGGACTGTTGTTTCAGAAAGAAAATTCAGCAAAGAAGCTAAAATTGACCAAAAATCAAAGTTTGTCAACTGATGAACAACTTTCCTTTTCAGAAAAACAAACTCCCAGCTGTGATCTAAACTAAGAGACTTACAGAATACTGTTGGAACCTGACTAAACCTATGTCTAATATCCACAAATTGCATGATGTATTTGAGTTACACATCTGATTTAAAAAATAATGGCTGGGAATTATTTCCAAATATAGTTGGGTAGAAGTTCAAATATTTCAGAAGAAATAAAGGACTATTCCTAAACACTGGCAACAGTATTTCCATTACAAAAAGTGTACATATGTTATAAATATGCTTTTAAACCAGAAATAATGTGTGTTGACATTTAGCTAGAATTAATTCTTTTCCCCTACATATGAACTCAAATGTGTCCCTTTGTCCCTATTTTAAGAGATTCCCAAGGTAAAAACACTGCTGTAGTCTTGTTTTTTTATTTTTTAAAGGTCTGTCCAATGATGGATATCTTTAGCAAGCATTGGATTTTAACCTAGAAAAGAAAAAATTTTAATATTAAAATATTCCCTGATGTCAGCTGTTACCCATGACCTCTGTTGAGATGTTCAGGACAAAGGTCACAGGGTTCCCCAACCCCTCCAAAAGAAAAGGCAGTGGGAAGCAACAGGCACCCACAACATTGGAAATCAACTCCATGACCCAAATTGTAATTGCATATAAACCTACCAGAATTTAGAATGAGAAGTGGAAGAGATAGGTTTTTAAAAACAAAGGTTAAAAACCTATGCCACAGTATTAAACAATTTACCACTAAATTTACTTTTCAAACTGAGTTGGAAGTTTCAGTACTAAGAACAATCTCAATGTGTATGTTTTACCAAAACATGGGCACCAGCTTTATTCTCTTTAAATTAGGGTTCAAAGACATTGTTAAGGAGTTATTAGGCTATAATGAAGAGTTACATTAGAGAAAGATATCCTTTATTATATTTGAATACTTCCCAGAGCAAAAAGTACAGCACTATTTAGGACGTTCCTAGCCTAATACATCATTTCCTTTGAGAATCTTGGAACCAGAAAAGTCAGATGCTTACAAAGACAATGATCTTCTCAACAATTTCTAACCACCTTCAAAATCAATCAATATTTAATTCTAACTTAATCAAAGAGCCACACCAAATTTCTTTACCACTTTCCCATGAAATGTAAACTGGATTGCCAAACACCACACTATGCAAAATGAAAGTCAATTCAAATGTGTTAAAATTCCAGGGGGTAGGAATGGAAACATCTTGCCTTTTTAGATGGAAAGTGTTTGTTGAACCCCCTGAGAAAGAATGTATTGAAATAAATCATTCATGTCTTGGTTAGAAACCAGAAGACCTAAGAGTCATACAAATGCATATACAGAAAGTGAGTTTCAAGTTTGTCCCAGGTCATCAACATATACAAGGGGCTGGGTAATATCACAGCACAGTAGGATTAACACTTTACATGGAGTTGTGTTTGAACTCCAATGCTCACTCTACTCATCACCCACCCCAAGGAAGCACTATACACTACACAGGGTCACTTTTTCTTTAGAAACATCCAACACACAGACATATATACACATACACACCCACAAAACTCATACTCAAAAGACTAAAGACAACCAGACAATCTCAGAGACTAGGACTTTCAAAGTATAGCTCTGCCTTTCCTATCACTCAGGCACCAGTCAGGACAGTGCAGTGAAAATTACATTTACATGTGAATGCCTAAATCTTTACCAAAGCTTTGCAGGAAACTGAAAGGTTGAAAAATCTCCAGCCTAAACTCTAATACCCTTCAGGAACAATAGGACAGGCTAGGCCTCATTAAAAATTCTTTATAAAACCAGCGACTCTCTCTGTGTTTGGAACTCTCCGGGAAAGAAAGCAGTCAAGCTTACTTGGTGGGCCTGGGCAATCACAAGACCATCAGAGTCAAATCAAGTTGTCAATGAAACATGCAGTTCCAAGAAAACAAAAATTCTTATTTTCAATTCCACATTCCCAAGACACCACAAGTCACAATGCTCAGATGAGATGACATTCACAACAAACATAACCTTTGCAAGCTCAGATAACACTCTGGGATTTCCACGCTTCCTAGGGCCAAAGAATAGCCAAAGATAACTAAAGGTTAAGGTGATCCAGCACCCAAAATTTCAACAAAAAATGCTAGATCTTGGAGCAGCCGATCAAGAGCAGGGAAGGGAAGTCAAAGGGCTACCTACTGCTAACCAAACCAGTCCAGTACTAATCAGCCATAATTTTTCAGGGCATCAGTATAAAGAGCCTTTAAAAATCAAGGTCACCAGTTGGTCCCCTATTCCTCCTCGTCCCCTGCTTTTTGTAAGAAAATGCTTATAGGACCTTCCGATCCGTCCGCCCGCGCAGGGCAGTGCCAAGACTAAACTTTCAAACCTTGAGGGAGGTGGGAAAGTCAGCCAGCCAGACGCTGGACTAGAAAAAGTGGAGACAGAGAAGGAGGGAAAGACTCAAGTTTCAAAACAAAGGCTCCACAAGGAACTGAATGTCAACCCCTCCCCACTTCCTAGCCTTCACGCCAGCTAGGCTGGGCCTTGATTTTTAAGGACACAAATAAGTCAGATTTACCCAGCTCTTGAGCGTTCACCAATTTGCACAACCACTTGCTGAGGGTGGTGCTATCCTCTTTCCCCCCGTCTCGCAGAGGAGAAAGAGGGCTCAGAACGTAAGGACTTGCCCAAGGTACCACAGTAGAGCCTGAACTCAATTCTGTCCCCGACCAGGACACCAGGGCCAGGGCACCGCGGTGGGAGGAGGGACGAGGGCCGCGGGGACCGAAAGGACGACGTCCCCGCCCGGAGAGAGCGGGGCTGGGAGAGGGGAGGGGCCCCACGCGACTCGCACCCCGGCCCCTACCTTCCTTGACTCCCGGCAGCTTGGACTGGTCGATGCCAACTTCAGCCATGTTGGGCCGGGGTCCCGGCCGCCCCTCGCCGCCCGCTTCCCCGC